AATAGATTGAGATGGTTTGGTCATATTCAACTGAAACTAACAGAGGCAATAGTGAATAGATGCGATGCAGTGACAATCAGTGGCGAAGGGAGTATGGGACCAGGGGGTCACGTGCCCCCCCTGGATTTTGGATTTTTTTTTTTTTTTTTTTTTTTTATACATAAAGAAAATATTTTAAATAAAAAATTACAAAAATATTATTAGAGTGAAATGTCAATGACATTTTAAAAATTATGAGAACAATAATGGCTGTTTTGATTGAAAATGAAGAGACTACTATAAACCATATTATCTATGAAAATTTTATAAAAAATTTTGAATGTAATTATTAGTGACATGCAAGTATAATTAATCTCATTATAAAGATATGAAATTTATTGGATTGTTAGTTACATTTGACATGTGAGGTTCACTCTCTATGTGTTTATTTATTATTAGTGGGTGATATCACATACCAATGATGACGTGGTATTACCATTATATTGAATTTTTAATCAAACTTTATATAAAAAATAATTTATCATTATATAATTTATTTTAAGATTTATATCCATATTTTTTTTTATTATTCATTGTATACTAGTTACAAATAACATTACTTTTTTTTTTTTTATGTTTTTCGAAATCAATCGTAAAAACTTGCATAAAATATTTTTGTAAAAATTTTTGATATTGTAATTAATAAATGTCCCCCCTAATTTAATTTTCTAGTTCCGTCACTGGTGACAATAGATGGAAGTGCTAAGAGACAAGGTAGACCTAGATTAACGTTAACTAGTGTAATAAATAAATCAGTTCTGATTCGTAGCTCGAAATTAGCGTGGCTCGAATGGTCCAATATCAAAACGACGTCGTTTTGATGTTTTTTCTGTTTTTTTTTTTTTTTTTGCGTTTTCTGTAGATTTTTCTGATGAAGAAGAAGAAAAGGAAGAAGAAGAAGAAGATGATGAAGAAAAAAATGCAGAGAAAACAGAGTATCTTCATCAACACATCATCAACAACATCATCATCATCAACAATTTTTTTTTTTTTTTTGATGAACTAATCTTTAGATCCAGATCAAATCCAGATCAACTAAAAAAAAAATGTAGAGAAAACAGAGTATCTTCATCAACACGTCATCAACAACATCTTCATCAACAACATCTTCATCAACATCAACATCATCATCAACAACATTTTTTTTTCCCCTCATCTTCAGATCCAGATCCAAAAAAAAGTACAGTTTGAAAGAGGCGATACCCACCGGCGCCGCCACCGGTAGAGAGAGAGAGACGCCACCTTCTCTTCATCATCTCTTCCTTCTCTTCCTCCTCTCTTCTCTCTTCTCTTCGCTCTCTCGCCTTGTCTCTCCTCTGTATGTGAAAGCAAACAGAAAAAAAAAAATTACCCCCCCAAAAAAACTGAAGAAAAAAAAAAAAAAAAAAAAAGAGGCCAAAACAAGGTCGTTTTGGCTATTCGAGCCACATATCTCGAGCTACAAAATATTATTGTAAATAGCTATGTGAATTTATTAATTTGACAAACGAAATATTTTTAATAGAGTTGAGTGGAGAAAAATGATTTATATAGCCGATCTCATTTAATGAGAGTTAAAGATTTGGTTTGGTTTATTTTAGTATGTTTTCAAGCAAGGCCCAGCAACGGAATGTTGAACGTGCTTGGATGATGCGGTATTACATATTTTCTAACCAGGAAAAAAAAAATACTGTAGAAATACATATACCTGCAAGCTGAGGGCAGTTCCTCAGGGACAAGTTCAGGAACCGCCATAGAAATTGTCAATGTGTCTCTCCAATTCGCAGCTTTTGCATGATACAGATCAAAATTGCTATTGAATCTCACTTTTCTATTCCGATCACGCGTGTAGAACTCTTTCTTCGCCTCCAAATCTTGTTCGTTAAATTCACGAACACCATCAATCATTCCACTTAACACACCGAAAGGGATTCCGTGATTCACCACTTGGAAAAAGCCCCATTCCTCAGACGCTCTGCGGATTTCATCCACAATCTCATCGCGCCGATCACGGCCGTCGATGCCCCCCAGATCTATCATCGGAACTTGCAAATTCGTAAGGCGAGAGTTCGGTGTCTCGGGAGGATCGTTGGATGGTCTGATGAAGATTTTGGGAATTTTGACTACTCCCGCATCTACGAGCCCTTTAACACCGGCTTTCGTTTCATCGAAAGCTTTTAGGTCTGTTTTGGGATCATATTCGAATCTGGTTTCAGTGAAGGAATTGTTGGTTCTTGAGAGAGAATCCATGATGAAAGAGAAGATGGTGAGTGAGTGAACAAAGTTGCTTATCCGGAACGAGGATAAACGTCAGTTATTTAGTTTTTTTGTTCCCGATAAGCAACCTTGTTCACTCAAAAAAGATAAGCAACCCTGTCCACTACACCGGCGCCGCCACCGGTAGAGAGAGAGAGACGCCACCTTCTCTTCATCCTCTCTTCCTCCTCTCTTCTCTCTTCTCTTCGCTCTCTCGCCTCTTCTCTCCTCTGTATGTGAAAGCAACTGAAGCAAGAAAATTATCCACCCAAAAAAACTGAAGCAAGAAAAAAAAAAAAAAAAGAAGCCAAAACAATGTCGTTTTGGCTATTCGAGCCACATATCTCGAGCTACAAAATATTATTGTAAATAGATATGTGAATTTATTAATTTGACAAATGAAATGTTTTTAATAGAGTTGAGTGAAGAAAAATGATTTGTATAGAGAGTTAAAGATTTGGTTTGGTTTGGTTTATTTTAGTATGTTTTCAAGCAAGGCCCAGCAACGGAATGTTGAACGTGCTTGGACGATGCGGTATTACATATTTTCTAACCAGGAAAAAAAAAGATATACTGTAGAAATACATATACCTGCAAGCTGAGGGCAGTTCCTCAGGGACAAGTTCAGGAACCGCCATAGAAATTGTCAATGTGTCTCTCCAATTCGCAGCTTTTGCATGATACAAATCAAAATTGCTATTGAATCTCACTTTTCTATTCCGATCACGCGTGTAGAACTCTTTCTTCGCCTCCAAATCTTGTTCGTTAAATTTACGAACACCATCAATCATTCCACTTAACACACCGAAAGGGATTCCGTGATTCACCACTTGGAAAAAGCCCCATTCCTCAGACGCTCTGCGGATTTCATCCACAATCTCATCGCGCCGATCACGGTCGTCGATGCCCCCCAGATCTATCATCGGAACTTGCAAATTCGTAAGGCGAGAGTTCGGTGTCTCGGGAGGATCGTTGGATGGTCTGATGAAGATTTTGGGAATTTTGACTACTCCCGCATCTACGAGTCCTTTAACACCGGCTTTCGTTTCATCGAAAGCTTTTAGGTCTGTTTTGGGATCATATTCGAATCTGGTTTCAGTGAAGGAATTGTTGGTTCTTGAGAGAGAATCCATGATGAAAGAGAAGATGGTGAGTGAGTGACTGAGTGAGTGGGTGAACAAGGTTGCTTATCCGGAACGAGGATAAACGTCAGTTTTAGGCCTCGTTTGGCAAGAGGCTATTTTAGTCAATTAGTCAAAAAATTACTAAATTAGTCAAAAAGTCAATAATTCATACCAAAAAGTCAAAGATTCTCTTTTCTCTCTACTTTTTACACATCTTTTCGTAATTAGCCAAAAAGTCATCCCAAACATACAAGTTTTTTTTACCTACCTTTTTAGCCAAATAGCTAAAAAGTTACTAAATTAGCCTGTTCCCAAACGAGGCCTAAGTTTTTTTTGTACTTCTTTTTAGTGGACAGGGTTGCTTATCTTTTTTGAGTGAACAAGGTTGCTTATCGGGAACGAGGGTAAACGACAATTTTTTAGTCAGTTTTTTTTTTTTTTTGCCTTTATTTTTTTTACAAAAATGATTTGGAGGTTTAAAAAGAGGAGTAATGTTATGTAGCTTGAAATCAACCTCCCTCAATTCTCCTAATTTAAAAAACGACGTCGTTTTTTCATTTTTTTTTTTTTTTTTTTGGATTGAATCAGAAACGAAGAAGAAGAAGAAGAAGAGAAGGGAGAATAAGAAGGGAAGGGAGAAGGGAGAACTGGACAGAAGGGGGCATAAACCTGAGGCGGAGGCAGAGCTGCTGCGACGATCGGTGAGCTGCTGCGACGATCGGCGAGCTGCTGCGACGATCGGCGATCGGCCGACGATCGGCCGAGCTTCTCTCTCTCTCTCTGTTTCCCTCTCTCCTCTCCTCTCTCTCTTTCTCCCTCTCTCTCTCGCCTTCACCCTCTTTTCCCTCTGTTTCCCTCTATTTCCATTTTCGGGGGATTCGGGGAGAGCTCATTCGAGCTCTCAAGCTTTATCCTAAGGCCCCGTTTGTTTAGGGTTATAGCAAAGGGATTAGGATTACTAATACCTTAGGACTAGTATATGGGGTGTTTGTTTTGAGAGATAGCCTTGGGACTACTAATACCTTGGGACTAACTAATACCTTGGTATTACTAATACCTTGTTTGTTTTGAGAGATGGGGAGGGTACTACTAATACCTTGGTAGAATAATGCTTGGGACCCCCTTTTGGGGGTCACCCCCTCACCCCCCCTTTGCCACGTGGCGGATGGTGATTGGAGAAGTAGGAAAAAAAGAAAAAGAAAAAGAAAATGTAACCAATGAGAGAGAGAGGGGGTCAAAGGGGGTGGGAGGAAAAGGGGGGATGAATCATTGTTGTACCTTGGTATTACTAATACCCTTGTGGAGGGGATTCATAGTGAGGAGGTAGAGATGGTATTAGAAAAATAGTGAGCGGATTAGAAATTTTTTTATTTTTTTTATTTTTTATATATTGGGAATTTTTTTAAAAAATATTAATGTTTAATTTTTATATTTTTTTATTTGTTTTATTATTTTATATAAAAATAATTCAATAATTCCTCACTATTAATCCCCTCACTATCAATCCCTTCACTATTAATCCCCTCACTATCAATCCCCTCACTATTAATCCCCTCACTATCAATCCCTTCCATTCTATCTCTGAAAACAAATGACCCTCACTAACAATCCTCTCACTATTAATCTCCTCACTATCAATCCCCTCCATTTTATCTCTGAAAATAAACGGGGCCTAATAAG